CTGAGCCAGCATCCCTGGCTGCGCCTCGCTGCTTCCCTGCCCGCGGAGAGCAGCTGCTGGAGCTTGGCTCTGCCAGGTGCAGGCCGAGCTGCAGCTCTCCAGAGTGGCTTTGCTTCTTGACTCTGTATTTGCTTTCCCACTAATATGTGGAGAAGACTCGGCCTGACAGCTCAGCCCTCCGGCTAGTGCAGACACCAGTGCCATCCTGGACACGGCCAGCTGCTTCTGAGCAAGTTGTGTCCGCTCTCTCTGCCCACCCATCACCTTCTGCAAGAGGTTGTCCTCCTTGGGAACGATGGCAGCTCCAACAGGTGCATGAGGAAGCTGAAAAATGGGCTTTGTCCCAGGTCCTGGAAGTCAGATGAGCTGAACATGTACAGCCTTCAGTCACATAGGATGGCTCTCCTGTTGTGTTTGCTCTTGTAATGACAGGGTGCAAGCGGTGGCTGCACTACCTTGTCTCTAGTGATGATTTCCATAGGGTCCACAGAGAGGAATAAAGTTTTCACCAGTAATTTAAAGGTTAAAACCTAAGAGAAGGGTGGGGAGGTGTACAGGGCTGTTACAAGAGCAAATGCAGTTTGATCTACAGTTTCCTTAGGAGACTGAAATAGTTATAAATAAACTAATGGCCAGTGCTAGATATTCCTGTGCCCTTTTCCCTCCAGGTGAAGAATTGGGAGCTGCTGCAGGTAAGACAGAAAACATCACCAAGAACAAGTTACCAGTGTCAGTGCCTGTGCTTCTGGGTTCTTTGTCAGACTGGCCTTAGCACTGACTAAATATCCAACATCTGAGACTGGTCCCATAGCTAGTGATGCCAGTATTTACGTATATATGATACAAATATATCCATAGTGATAGGAACAGATAAGGGGAAGTCAGTGGTGATCTCAGTGGGACTCCTACTAATCAGACCAACTCCAGCTGCCAACTGTCACCTCCGAGCAAGTCTGCTCCTCATCTGCTGGGTGCTGTGAAGTGAGAAACTGCAGCTGGAGGCATTTTCTTCTTGGTAAAAGGAGGATTGGTCTGATAACATTGCTCCTTCTTTCAGGGGCCTTCCTCATCCCCTATTTCCTGACGCTGGTGTTTGCTGGGATTCCTCTCTTCCTGCTGGAAACAGCTCTGGGCCAATATACCTCTGTGGGCGGACTGGGAGTATGGAAATTAGCGCCCATGTTTAAAGGTACCGTACTGTCAGTTTGTGAAGGCGATCGCACATGGGTACAGACAAGAACCCTTTAGTGGTTTGGGAAGCAGAGTGGTAAATCCCTGGGGACTGGGATGGGGTGGCAGGTGAGGGGAGTTTTTTCCTGCTGCCTTTATCAAGCTGTCCTTGACCCTGGTGTCCAGTGTCACTGACAGCACTGTGCTCTGTTCAAGCAGTCCTGCGTGGTGACAAGGCACTTCATGAGCAGCAGAGACTGTGATGGAGAGGCTTTGCTTGCAGAAGACATCCCACAAGTCTCTCAGTGTAGAGTTACTTTAATTCATAGAATCACAGAATGGTTTGGGTTGAAAGGGACCTTAAAGATCATCCAGTTCCAACCCCCCTGCCATGAGCAGGGACAC